TTTGTTCAGATATTACATTGAATAAATATTCTATTGAATTTTTGTTCTTGTTAGAATAATTTCCCAGGTAGCAAACACAAGTCATTTTGACGTCAAATACTAGTCATGTTTGTATGTACAAATGACGTCAAATGACCAAAAAGCGACTATGTCTTTAAAAATGACATTATACTGACGTTATTCCATAACGTCATTATAACGTCTATTTTTAGTCATTTTTGGTCTATGACATCGGCGACTATAATAATGGACGTTTATAAGACGTCATTTCTTAGACCATCTAAAGACGTCATTTTAAAGACGTCTCAAAGTCGTCCAAATAAGGTCTTTTTGTAATATAATTATTTTTACTTCTTAATATTGTATAATAAAGTAATAATAAAATAAAAACCACAAAATTAACTACAATATGTTTGTTTCGCAACTTTATGATTGAAGTGGCGAATTTATGGTATAAGTGGATGTAGTTGCGTGTGATTATAGTTTTATGATAACTATTTCATGCAGTGCTATAGCTATCAAGAAGATTATCATTACAAGATTTTTGAACACTTTAAAGATGTATCTGTTATAGACAAGTACAGTTAATAAGGAAGCATCAGGGTGAGAAGATCGTCACTGTCCACTGGATCATCGACTGGATCAAGCAACTCGGGCGCGGTACTGTACTAGGATAGGTGACCGCCTTGAGAGCGGCTATACGCACATGGCATGTAACGAAACAGTTAAAAAAGCTTTTTTTTCTTAGATAAAGAAAAAGAACATTTTTTTATAAACGTTTATCAAGTAAACATTTTAAAATTTTAATTTCATAAAAAACATTTCTGGAAACCGGTATGTTGTACAATGGATCTATTTTTGCCGTCAATAAGACGTCAGAAAATGACGTCAAAATAACGTATCCGCGATGACGTAAATTGTCTGTGACATTAGACCGTTATTTTAACGTCATTATTCCGCCAGTTAGTGACGTCAGGAATGGTTAGTAAAGGACCAAAATTTGACGTCAAAATGACTTGTGTTTGCTACCTGGGTTTCTTCTTTTAATTTTTCCAACATCTTTACATTTGATATTAGTTTCTTATTCTGCTCGTTTAATCCGATAAAAATAGGTTTATGATCTGAGAAATAAGTTTCGTATACTCCAGCATTATAATTGAATATTTCCTCCGATATAAATATCTACATCTATCTGCGTATTAAAGTTTGTAGTTGACACTTGAGTAATTGCACGTTTAAATTGTAATTCATTTAAATGTTTTTCTAAAATTCCTCATTTATTATACGAGTCGTAATTAAAGTCACCTATTATAATTTTCTTTTTATTAATAGATTTGCTTAAAATATTACTCAGTTCGTGCATAAACATGGTTCTAGGTACTGAGGGAGATTTATAACCGGTAATGATCTCTATCTCATTTATGTTCATGTGTATCAAGTCAATATGACGCTGTTGTCCATTTATAGTTTCATCTTTTTGTATATGATCATCAATAAATGCGTTAAGTTCCTTCCTAATAAAACATATTATTCCTTTTGGTAAACGTTTATCGTAATTATCTGTTCGGAAAATAATATTAAATCCTTCAAATGTCAAATTGTCTGTTGTGATTGTTTGTGTTTCTGCAAAAATTAATAAATCTGCTTGTTTATACCATTTATCACAAGATATATTAATTAAATTTTTATTTAGTGACCGTACGTTCTGATAAATAATTTTTATTTGATTTCCTTTTATAATTTTGGAATACGACAATTTAAGACACTTCTCTTCTTTTAGACGTTTTATTTCTAATTCCAATAGATTATTTGTTGATGGTTTTTTTGGTGATGTTAAACTTCCAAGAATATAAATCAGATAATTTGGTTACTCTACTCAGCGCTACGTACAACATTGGCTTCGTCATACGGGAATTATTTCTAAAATCAATACATACTTTTTCGTAGGTTTGACCTTGACTTTTATGAATTGTCATAGCTTCAGCAGGTATAATGGGAAATTGTTCCCTTACGATTTGATATCCCATTCTCTCATTGACGTTCAATACGACAGATAGCGGTGATAGCGGAACTAAACACATTTCCATACAATTTTTAGTCATATACTTTATATATGATCTTCGTTGTTCAACGCCAATTTTATTATTATTAAAATCAAGCCATATTTTAATTGGTTCATCTGTACCTGGTTTAAATGTTATATTTTTCAATATACCACAAGCTCCGTTAACTAGGCCTTTTTCTACATTTATATTAGTAATTATCATGTATTTGATACCTATTTTTAATATAACTTTGAAAGCCAAGCCACCACATTCTGTTCTTTTTCTTTTTTTTAATGACGTTAATAATTTATTTCTTAATTTACTACTAACTTTTCCTAAAATTGTGTCTTTGGCTATACATTCATAAACTATACCATCTTTTAAATCGATTTTTAATTGATTAAAACTATCAACTGAGTGATTATCAGCATATAATCTAATTGCATCTTTTGGAACGTATTCTTCTGTCGTTTCTCTTGACTTAATTAAAGCAATATCATTTTCACACATTATTCCTTTTGCAAGGTTGTTAAGAGCTTCAATAAAAGTTTTATCTTCTTTTTGTCTCATTATTTCTGTTAACTGAAAGAATTCAAATTCATTCTATAGAACATTTTCTGAAAATACGCTTAACATGCAAAATTTCGGACAGAGATATATTGAAGTATCCATAACCGGTGGTAATTGATAAAGATCACCGACTACCAAGACAAAAATTCCATCAAAGCTTTCATCACGTCCCATTATTTGTCTTAATCTTGTATCTCGACTAAACATTGTACTACCTACCATAGATATTTCATCTATGATTAATAATTTTAATTTTATCAAATTCTCTCGAATAGTATTTGCCACATCTGTTGACAATTCTGGCATTTGCCCTCCGTACTGTGTTATCGGTAAAGCAAAAGCAGTGTGTAACGTTACACCACCTATTAGAAATGCTGCTTTTTCTGAAGGAGCACATAATAATATTTTGACCAAATTGTTTTTTTCTCTAGGTGTTTCGTTGAAATAATCCAATATTGTATTGTATTGTATTATTTATTGTCTCTCCCCTTAGGGTTTACAAGGCGTTTTTTTTTATCACGAGGAACGTTCCCAAACCTCGTACATTTATTGTACATAACATTCACTCTAGCTTCCAAACATAAACATAGACATAGATCAAATCCCCGAAGTCCACCTCCTCTTCTTACACGTCCGCTTCCGCTCCCTGTGGTCGTTTTCCTCTTCCTCTTCCTACGCTTCGTCTCTCCGTGGCCCTCTTCCTTTTCTTCTTCCTCCGCTTCCGCTTCGTCCCCGTTTTCAGACTTCACTCCCCTCTCTCCCTCCTCTTCTTATTTAGCCCTCTTTCCTCCTTCCTCCTTCTCCTCTTCGGACTCATCTTCGACGAGCAACTTATCCTCCATCTCCTTCGATATCTCCTCATCCTCCGATCTCTCTGTACTCCTACGTAACCTCTCCTCTATTTTCTCCTTTCTCTCTTCTTTCTCCCTATCTCTCCTTTCCACCGACTTGTCCTCGTGTATTTTCACCCCTACTCTATTCCCCGCCCTACTTCTCGCTTCCAGCACCTGCCACTTTTCCTCTTCGTCTCTCAACTTCACCAGTATGGTTAGCCAAATTCCCCTCTGTCCCACCACAATCACCTCCCTCACCGTCACCCTCACCTTAAGCCCTTCTGCGAACAGCTCCTTCACTTTCTCCCAGTTCGACCCCTTACCTCCCCATTTTTCCTTCTCCACCCTTAAAATTACGTTCCTTTTCCTTTGCTCGTCCTCGTTCCCTTCACCTGTCCCCGACCACCATTTCCTCCACCCCGTCCCACTCTCCCCCTCGTCCTCTCTCTTCCTTTTGCCTGCATTTAGCTCCAATCTTTCTACCTTTCTCT